CGGCCGAAACCACTGGATACGGGGGATGGAGGAGGAGCCACAGCAGAGTCTCCTCCTCGTTGGCCCCTGAAGCTGCGGAGCTGCCGCTTCCACATCGGGAAGGTAACATGTGGAGGGAAGGGAATGTGGGAACGGGGGAGTTGAGGAAAAGAAGATGATCCTTACTCTTCTTAGTTCTTTAGCCATGGACTGCCAGCTAAGTTTTGCGATTTTCAAGAGAGCCCTATTTCTGGTTCGAGGAACATAAAAGTAGACCAGCCATCCTTTTCCAAATGAGGTCACTGAGATGCCATAAGAACTCCCGAAACACCCACACACCCCAAAGCCTAGGGTGGACACATGAACCCTGTTCAGATGTTACAGTGAATGCATGTACAGCCTGTATGTACACTCTACATCTGTTTGTAAGAAAGCCAGTGTGTTTTCACTTTAGAAATGAAACCTGGGACCAGTACCTGGATAAATGTGGGGGTTAAGTAGAGATGCCAGCTCTGGTTTGGGAAGTACCTGGAGATTTGGGGGTGGGGCCTGAGCAGGGCAGGGTTTGGGGTAGGGAGGGACTTGAATGAGTGTAATACCATAGAATCCACCTTCCAAAGCAGCCATTTTCTCCAGGTGAACTGATACCTGTCGCCTGGAAATCAGTTGTAACAGCGGGAGATCTCCAGACATTACGGGGGGGGGGGGGGTTTAACACCCCTACCAGGGAGGGACCTCACCATGGTACAGTGACACAGAGTCCAGCCTCCAAATCCGGCATTTTCTTTGGGGGAACTGATCTTTGTAGCCTTGAGTTCAATTATAATAGTGGGAGATGCCCAGGGCCCACCTGGAGGTTGGCAACCCTAAGACACAAATTGAGCTGCATGTGTGTTGAATGTAACATGAGCATTACTCAACGTGTGCATTAAAAAATAAAAAAGTCAAGTGCACATTTGTACCTGACCACATGTGTATTCACCGTAACATGAATAGGGCTATGTGCAATCTGTGTATGGTGTACGCTTGATTTTTTTTGTGGTGCCAGCATATTGAGTAATTATTCACTCACATTAGGGGCATGTGATTGAAACCTCACATTTGTCCCCAGTCTTCTTTGTAAAGGGAAAATGTGTTTGTTTGTTTATTTATTTAGAACATTCCTCTGCCGCCTCTTCTGAGTTCTACTTGAAGCAGCCTGCCATTAAAAACCACAATATACCCCCCCCAAAAGCTGTGACTTTTCAGGTTTGATATTGACACCTTTAAAAGAGAGTTCAGAAAAAAAAATATTTTAAAAAATTAGAGCCTCCTTGGCCCGTAAATGACTCTGAAATCAATATCTTTAATGGTGGAGACAGTTTTTCTTGAAGGCTGTTTAATTACATTTTAACTTCAAAAGTACATTGATTTTTTGGCTTTGGTAGAGCAGCAAGCCAGTGGGGAAATAATGACCAGTAGAAAAATGTAGAAGTTATTTATTTATGTGTGTGTATGTATGTGTATGTATGTGTGTGTATATATATATATGTATATGTATATGTATATGTGTATATATTTCAAATTTATACCCCGCCCTCACAGCCAAAGCCAGCTCAGGGTGGCTTACAACAGGATAAAACATACAGATAACAATGATTAAAGATCTTAAAACTTCCTAAAAACAGTCCACAGTTAAAATCATGAAGTGCTAGTAGTAATCGATTCTGATAATAATGATGTTATTTAACAATGGTGGCAACAGTTCATAATCTCTCTTAATAGTCAGCTCATACATCACTTCCTTTGTGCGGCTAGCACAGGATGTTGCTAGTCACTCCAGGGGGCCCGGGGCAGAGCTCTCTGCCCTTAAGCTGTTAGGGCAGAGGATGACGGGGGTGGCTCCTTAATTGAAAGCCTGGTGGAAGAGCTCAGTCTTGCAGGCCCTGCGGACCTGCATAACATCCCACAAGGCCCTGATCTCTTCTGGGAGCTCATTCTACCAGAATGGAGCTACCACCGAAAAAGCTCTAGCCCTGGTTAAGGCCAGTCTGGTATCCTTTGGACCTGGGGGGCCCAATTGATTTTGGGATCCTGATTGCAGTGCTCTCTGGGGTACATATGGGGATTATAACTTGATAGTATTACTACTGGTGTCATTCGTAACTGTTTGTTGTTGTCATCTTTATGGTTCTCTCTATGAGGTCTGTGAAAGAGGATTGTGATATTTTATTGAGAATTTCAACTGCCCTTGCCTCCTTGTCAACTCTTCTTAACCCATGGTAGTTCATTTTTGTTTGGTTGTTCCCTGGAAGCCAGATTTTAAAGGATAGAGTTTACCGCATTCTGCACTTTGTGTTTGTCTGTCACTGTGTTTGTGAAGTTCAGTCAAGTCTTTTCATCCAGCTGCCTCTTTGTTTCATTAGGCTGGATATCAAGAGCAAATTTAAATAATTACGACGACTGCACTGGTAGAGCCTTTGTTGATGTGTTGAAGTGTCTTTTTTATGTTTCTCCACATGCTGCTAACAAACTATGCATTTTTACGAGCCTTTTTGATATTGGTGGTATTGTGCTTTGAGAAGGCATTAGATAAAATTTAAAAAGAAAAAAAAGATGTGTTTTAGCCTGGTGCTAAAAAGAATGTAAAGGAGGCACCAGGTGAGCCTAGAGGGAGGACATTCCAAAGGTGAGGTGCCACCACTGAAAATACCCTGTTACTAGTCGCCACTCTCTGAAGGCGAGAGCACAGAGAGCAGGGCTTGAGAGGCAGATATTAACTGATAGGCTGGACAGTATGGGAAGAGGCGGTTCTTAGGCAACCTGGCCCCAAGCTATTAAGGCCTTGAAGGTAAGAACCAGCACTTTCAATTTTACCTGGAAACAGATGGGTAACCAGTGCAGACCTTTCTCCACATGGATGATACTATCTCTGTAACCAACCCCTGACAGTAGCCCGACCATCTGCATTTTCGGCCTTGAAAGAGATCAGTCTCTATAGGACTTTATTTTTAAGAATTTCTGCTGGTTGTTTTAATGCTGTTGATTTTAGAATTGTTATCTCGTGCTGATTTATTGTGGTTATACCTGCCTCGCTGAAAAGGAGAGTTCTTTATTGTTGGTAGCCTGGAAACTGAGAGGAGAGCACGGCCACCCAATTTGGAAGGGTGATACCATAGAGCTGTAGCAATTTGAGAAGGCAGGATTGTATAGCAGCATTCATGTGGAGGGATGTTCTTGAGCTATGCTTGGGGGTTTCCATAACAATGACCTCCTTCTCTTAGGCTGCCAGCCACTCCAGCGTCCATCTGATGGAGAATGTGGCATCTTGCCTTCCGGCTGGGGCAGTAGCTGCTGTGCTGAAGCCCAGCGAGGGACTACCTGAAGGGAGCCTGACTGTACGTGGTTATGACTTTGACCATGGGCTGGACTACCACACCCTGCTCCAGTCTTATCTGACCACAGGCTTTCAGGCCACCAACTTTGGGCAGGCTGTGAATGAGATCAACCGCATGGTGAGTAACCAAGATCATTCCTGATTGGGGAGAAGGGTGGAATGGTGGACAAGAAAATGCCTAGGTTTCAGCCCCGGTCTTTGGACATGTCTTTTTAAAATAGCTTTTTAAATTGTTGTTGTTGTTATTTAAAATAGGTTTACAGAAAAACAAGGGGAAAATGGAGATACAGGTATAATAATAATCTATAACTTATTCATAACAAGGACAATCAGCATCAGAGTAAATATAGAGCATATAACAAACATTTAAAATACATAGTATTTGGAAGGTTTTTGCATTCTGTATACATTTGTTATTAAAGCCTGGCATTTATTATCATTACTTAATATTAACCGTTAGACATTGATTATTACGTGATATGTTCCATTACATCTTAACTACGGTTGTCGTAATCAAACTATAATAAAAATACATTTTCAAAGCACTTCTAAAAATAAAAGGAGTAACAATTTTTAAATAAAAATTATAACAGTTTTTAAATAAAAAGGATAACAGTTTCTAGTAAACAGGATAACAGTTTGGACATGTTCTGTGATGCATGCTGTTGCCATCTCCCTGAGAACAGCTCTAGTTTATTCTATGGTCGTGAAAGGAAACAACGTTGACAGGGGGGGGGGGAGATGTACAAACTGTATTACTAACAGAGCAAAGCAGATGGAATAAAGAAAATCTCTGTCTAAATCGTCTGTACATGCACAGAAGTTATTAACTGGCTGGTTCTCTTCAGCATATTCCTGTATTCATAAGCACTGTTCCTTTGTCCCTCTTTCCTTTTTTTTGCTCTGAGCTTCCTTTACCCGTGCCCAGAAGAAGGGCTGGTAGTCCGGAATTGGGTTAAATAATATTATAGGGAAATTACTATCTTAGATCTTTTATTCTGTATTGTAATTTTTTTAAAGTTATATATTGAATTTTAATGTTTTTAATATATTTTATGGTGTCATGCCTTGTACATCACCCAGAGCTTGGCTCAAGCTGGGATACGGTGATATAATAATAATAATCATATATATATATGCCTAACATATTGGCATATTTCGGCTCTCCCATTGGCTGTGCTGTGTGCTTCATCAGCCATTGGCCCATAAGCTGCAACTCAAGAGTACCCATGTGCCATTCGCTGGGTGCTAGGTCCGCTCCTCTCCCCCGCCCACTGCCAACCTGGACACTCTTCCTTGACAGAATAAACTGCCAAAACGGCTGTCTCTCCTGACGAAGGTACTTCTGCTTGGCTCCTGCTGTGGGGCTAACTTTTCCCTCAGTGACTGTTGCTAGGCAACGAAGCTTGGTCATAAAATGAGCTGAGCTATTTTATTGAGTTGTGTTTTATGTATGTATTTATGCTGGTTTTATAATTGTTGTAAGCCGCCCTGAGCCGCTTCGGCGGGAGGGCAGGATAGAAATCTAACAAATAAATAAATAAATACATACATACATACATACTTTGTGGGGAACTCATTGGGACCAGTCCTGTCTATGGTTGCCAGCTATAGGGTAGGAAATTCCTGGGGATTTTGTGGTGGAGTCTACGGAAGCCAGAGTTTGGGAAGGGGAGAGGCCTCAGCTGAATAGAATGCCACAGACTCCACCCTCCAAACCAGCCATTTCCTCTTGGGGAGCCATTGCTGCCATTCTCCAGGTGAGGGCTGGAGATCACTCAGAAATAAAACTGCTCTCTAGATGGCAGAGATCAGCTGAAGTCAGAAGGGCAGATAAAGGTAGGTTGATGATTGGCTGGGAAGGAGATAGGGTTGCCAACTCTAGGTTGGGAAATTCCTGGAGATCTGAGGGGTGGAACCTGGAGAGGGTGGGGTTTGAGGAAGGGTAGGACCTCAGACAGGTGCAATGTCATAGACTTCATCCTCCAAACCAGCCATTTCCTCCTGGGAACCATTGTTGCCAATCTCCAGGTGAGGGCTGGAGATCACTCAAAATTACAGATGGCAGAGATTAGTTCCCCTGGAGAAAATGGTAAGCTGTGTGTCATTATACCCTGCTGAGGTCACCACAGCAGATTAATGCTGAGTGCCCACGGCCAGGCAACCAGCCAGAGCCTCTGTCTAGAGCTTGTTGTATTTATTTCCACAATGGGCCTTATTCCTAGTAATAATAATGATGATAATAATAAGTGTGTGCACAGAGGCTGGTCACACAGTCCACCACTGAACCACCACTGCAGAATTGCTGCTTACTCTTTTTTACTGCTATACCATTTCCAACAATAGTGCACACCCCCATCTATCCCTTAACAAACAAAAAGGTAAAGGGTCTGGGACTTTTCAGTCTAGGGGGGGAAAAGATGGCTACCAAAGGAAATGACAGAGATTTGTATAAATTACGCATGGGATTGAGAAAGTACATACAGATGACTCCCCTCCCCCCAATACTAGAACTCAAGGATAACCATTGGAGTTGATAGGCAATATATTTAGGACAGGAAAGGAAATAATTCTTTACTCAAAAAGTAATTAAATTGTAGACTCTGCTGCCAGTGGATATAGTGACAGTCACAAGTAAGATGGTTTTAAGAAGGGACTACACGGATACTTGGCAGATAGGTCAATCCGAGGAACTTCCCCATCCGGGATCTGTAAACCTCTGAATAACTGGTGCTTGGAGGCAACATCGGGGAAGACCTTGGCTTCTATGCCCTGTTTTCTGGCCTTGAAAGGGAAATGGTTGGCTGAGTGCTGTGTGAAAAAGGTTACTGAATGAGACGGACCACTTGTCTGATCCACCAGGGCATCTTTTCTGCACTTCTGGTATGGAGAGTATTGAAAACATCAGGCTCTGTCTTTTCCCATCTTTTGTGAAGCTTGATTCACACTGTTTTCCTGTCTTCTATAGATAGAAGCCAAGCTGACACCATTGGGAGAGGAGGAAGGGAACCATGCCAACCTGAATCCCTGTCCTCGCCACCTAACTAGCTGCACAATTTTCTTGGGCTTCACCTCCAACCTCATCAGCTCAGGTATCCGTGAGACCATCCGCTACCTGGTGCAGCACAACATGGTATGGCCCAGTCCTCAGAGGGGTTTAGTTGTTTAGCGTGAAGGAAAAATACTGTTTGGGAGTTGTGTGGGTGAGAAAGGGGTAAGAATGAGTTGTGGAGGGAAAATTCCTGGATGTCGCACAGCAATATTTTTCTAGCTTATGTCTCAGTGATGCGGTGGGAGAGCATTTCATCTGATATTTTTTTTAATGAGCAACAAACAGCAGGAGACAGGGTGTGTTTTTTTGAAGGATATATACATTATTTCCAGCTGTTTCATGGTTGCCTGCTAACTTTGCCTGGTGGGAGGTGGCTAGGTTAACTTTACAGAACCCCAACTTATGGAATTTCCTACAGCTGATGTTCCTTTGGCTTCTTCAGGTTGACATTCTGGTAACTACAGCAGGTGGAGTTGAAGAAGACCTGATCAAATGCTTGGCACCCACCTACATTGGAGACTTCAGTTTGCGTGGGAAAGAGCTCCGACAGAACGGGATTAACAGGTATCAGTAGTGATGGTGGTCTAGTTGTAGGCAGGAGCTCCCCAGCAGACAGATAGAAGAGTCATTCCCAAGTTGTCTTCCGTTTCTATAATCCACCCTTCCCGTTGCTGTACTGTAGGAAGAGAATTGGCCATATGGAGTTTGGATAGCATATGGAGCAGAGGAAGGAATACTATGTCTGGTGCAGTGATGCTCTATATTCTTGGTGCTTGGGGGCAACAGTGGGAGGACTTCTGGAGTTCTAGCCCCATTGTTGCGTCTCTTGATGGCTTCTGTGTTTTGTGCACTGTGCGACACAGAGTGTTGGACTGGATGGACCACTGGCCTTATCCAAGATGGCTTTTCTTATGTTCTTATGAGGTGTATGGAGGCTGTACGGCTATATGCCTCACTGTGTGGGAGTCGGGAAAGTAAGGCGGCAAAGTGCCTTGGCCAGAATTTGCTCATCAGCCGTACCTTCCCTTCCCCCAGGATTGGGAATCTGCTGGTGCCCAATGATAACTACTGCAAGTTTGAAGACTGGCTGATGCCAATCCTGGACCAGATGGTGACAGAGCAGGACACAGAGGTAAGAGCTGGAACATTAGTGAAGAAAATGGCCCAATTTTGCTATAGGGCAGTTGCCAAAGGCACCTGAGAGCTGTTGGTCTTAAGGGTCTATCTTGGATACGAAGAAGGAAGTAGTGCAAGACTGAGGGAGAGAATGAATGGGAGCCAGGTATGGTAAGAGCTTTGTCGAGTGTCTGAATTCTTCACAGGTTTCTTTGCTCATAGCTCATCTTTTTTCCTTTCTGTAGCTTGGGATTTATTTATTTGCTGTGCCTTGGCTGTGAATGTTTCTCCTTTTCAAAAATACCTCCTGTGAAGACTGTACAGACCTATGGAAATGCTCAGCTTCCCCACAGAAACAGCAACACCATCTAACGGTGATGTCTCCCTGCCTTTCAGGGTGTGAAGTGGACGCCATCAAAGCTCATTGCCCGGCTTGGCAAGGAAATCAACAATCCTGAATCAGTCTGTTACTGGGCACAAAAGGTAGGCTGGGGAAAGGCTTCGGCATTTAGCATTCTCAGTGCCCTGGACAGAATGCCTTTTCTTTGGGATGGGATGGGTTTGTGTCGCGTGTGTGTATTATTATTATTATTTTCTTCCAGTTTTTGATAATCTGAGTCATCTCCTTGACATTTGAAATATCACCCAAGACCAGCCTTTTAAATCCTTCCATGAAGATGGTTCCAGAGGGTAGCTGCATCGGTCTGTGGTAGAACAGTTAGATTTGAGTCCGACAACACCTAAGAGACCAGAATAAGTGTCAGGGTATAAGCTTTCGAGAGTCAAAACTCCCTCCATTAGGCACAACAGAACAAGAGTCAAGGTCTGAGTCCTTTTATCCTAGTCAGAATCATAGAATCACAAAGCTGGAAGGACCCATATAGGCCATCTAGTCTAGCCCCCTGCTCAGTGCAGGATCAGCCTAGAGCAACCCTGACAAGTGTTTGGTGTAGTGGTTAAGTGTGCGGACTCTAATCTGGGAGAACGGGGTTTGATTCCCCACTCCTCCACTTGCACCTGCTGATGTGACCTTGGGTCAGTCACAAGCTCTGGCACAGCTGTCCTTGAAAAAGAGCAGTTTGTGTCAGAGTTCACTCAGCCCCACCCACCTCACAGGGTGTCTGTTGTGGGGAGGGGAAGGGAAAGGAGTTTGTAAGCCGCTCTGAGACTCCAAGTGAAGGGCGGGGTATAAATCCAATCTCTTCTTCTTCTTTGTCCAGCCGCTGCTTCAAGACTGCCAGGGAGGGGGAGCTCACCATCTCCCTAGTGGTACCTTCCCACCCTTAATTTAAACCCATTATTGCGAGTCCTATCCTCTGCTGCCAACAGGAACAGCTCCCTGCCCTTCAAATACTTAAAGAGGGCAATAATGTTCCCCCTCAACCTCCTCTTCTCCATACTGAACATCCCCAAGTCCCTCAGCCTTTCCTAGGCTCCAGGCCCCCAATTCCCCGTCCCCCTCCCCTGCCCCCGCCTCATTCTGTCCACATCCTTTTTTTTTTTTAATTTAAGTGAGGCCTCCAGAACTGCACACAATACTCCCGGTGTGGCCTGACCAAAGCAGTGTACAGCAGAACGACACATCTTGCGATTTGGATGATATGCCTCTGTTGATACACCCCAAGGTTGCATTAGCCTTTTTTTGTCACTGAATCAGCTTGATTCTCCCCTAAGCATTTCCCCTCTGCTCTAATCAAGCTGATCTATCCACTTAATCCTATCAGTTTTCTACTCTTAAAAATAGCTCTCCCTTCTGCATTTAATCCCGTACTTTTCAGGACAGGCAGGTATTTCAAACTCTCTCTCTCCCCCCCACCCAATGCTGATTTATGCCTGCCCCCATCTAGTGAAATGCTCCATTAAGTGTGCGGCTTGCATTCCCCTGCAGAACAGTATCCCTGTGCTGAGTCCTGCGCTGACCGATGGCTCCCTAGGAGACATGATTTTCTTCCACTCCTATAAGAAGCCGGGCCTTGTGCTGGACATTGTGGAAGGTGAGTCAGATTTCTGTCACATTCAGGAAGCACGCCCTTGATTTTCCTAGGGGTAAGCTTGTCTGGGTCTTTGGGAGGACAGAGGTAACTCTCCGTGTGCCCATGGTACAGTGGCTGTTGAGGATGATGGTGTACCAAGAGCCAGAGATTCAGGGTGACTGTTCAAAGTGGTGCTGAGTGGGCCATACTTCTCTCCTAATAGCTGTTTCCATCCCACCTGTAGATCTGAGGCTTATCAACACCCAGGCCATCTTTGCCCAGAAGACAGGAATGATCATCTTGGGTGGAGGTCTCGTCAAGCACCACATTGCCAATGCCAATCTGATGGTGAGGGACGTTGCATTAGGCATGACGACACATGGGAGGAAGGCAGTAGCGGGGTCGGGAGGGAGAGATTACAGAGGATGCTTGGTCCTAGAGTTGGAAGGGACCTTGTAAGCCATGTAGTTCAAGCCCTGCTTAGTGCAGGAAACCCAACGCTAGAAAATTATGGGAGATCTAGAACAGCCTCTGCTTGAAGATGACCAGAGAGGGAAAGGCTGCTAGATTACTGGTTCCATTAGTGTGGGAAAACCTTGTGGTGGAAAGTGTTCTGTGTATCAGTGGCCTGGTATTGTTTGCATGCTTCTTCAGCCGGGGAAATTGTTCTCACCAAAGGCACAAAAGATCTGGGCTTATAGTCCAAACCAGCACTTCTCCAGGTATACACAGTAGCCGAACCCTCTTTGGTTCTTCACGAGGGGCAAACCAGAAAGTGCCCTGTTTTAAGTGCTGGAAGAGGGCCCATAGTTCATTCTGTTTGTGCATTTACCGTCTTTGCACCCTTCCTGCAAGATGCACAACCTTGTACGTTTGATTGGTCCTAGGTTAATGAGTTTCCTGGAATTTGGTCCAGGTGTCCTCTGTTCAAAAGTATCTTATGTAGCAGGGCTGAGCTGTTGGAGAGCTGTGACCAGAGCAGAGAATCTTGGTATAAGACAGTTTTGTATAGCTCTGAACATATATATGAGAATAATTATATGTATGCTGTGCTGAAAAACCAGTTTTGGGGCAGCTGACTCTGCTCCCTGTGCCTGGTTTCACCCATTCTGTCACCTCCACAGAGAAACGGAGCTGACTTTTCAGTGTATATCAACACGGCACAGGAGTTTGACGGCTCGGATTCGGGAGCTCGGCCTGATGAGGCGGTATCCTGGGGGAAAATACGTACGGATGCAAAACCTGTCAAGGTATGTGTGGGGCACAGAGGAGAGAGGCTGATCATGGAACTGTAGGGGGTAGGGTTTCCACTTACTGTTGACTAGTCGAGCACGTTCTGAATCCTGCATTCTCCTTGGTCTTCCATTGGCAGGTTTATGCCGATGCTTCCCTGGTCTTCCCGCTGCTGGTCGCAGAGACTTTTGCCCAGAAGTCAAATGCCTTTGCTCGAGAGAAGCAAAATGACTAAGCGGAAGGCATCTCAGATGTCAGGATCCTTCTGTACCTGCCCAGCCCATATGCACAACTCCGTAGTTGCTGGCACTCACGTGGGAACCGTACAGGTGAAGGCAAGAGAACCGCAACTACTAGAAGGCAAGAGAACCGCAACTGCTAGAAGGCAAGAGAACCGCAACTGCTAGAAGGCAAGAGAACTGCAACTCCGCACTAGATCGCATTCAGCTCTTTCTCCGTCCACCATGAATAAGGTCCGCACCCCAGTCGCTTCCTCTGAAATCAGGTCTCTTCTCCTTGTTGCCCTTCAGATCACAACCGTTGGGCAACTGCGTGTGTCAGGGGCATAACTTCTTCCACCTTTCTCCTCTCGTGTCTCCTTCACCTGAAAACAGAGTGTTTGGGAGTGAAGACTGTTGGGGTTGTTTTCACAGCCTGCTTCTTCCGTGATAGTGGGATGGTCCCGGGAGTCGAGGGTGGCTCCTTTCCTTGTACCGGCTTTGGCTTGCAGACAAGCTTTGAGCGGCCCACGTCCTCTCTGTTCCTTCCCTTCCCTTCCGTCCCTTTCCCCCATCAGCCCCCTCTTAATTTATTTATTGGTGTTTTTCGTTTGGAATCGCCCAAAAACCCCAGCTTCCTAATAAAACTAATTGGTCTTGAAATGAGTGTGTTTCTTCCTTCCTTCTTCTCCTTGAGGATGTTTTGCCCCCTCCTTTGTGGCCAACTTCGGGACATACTTACAGATGCATGCTGCTCAGGTTATGGGGTCCCCCCCCAATCTCTTTAGGTTGTGAATCACTGAGTTAATGAGAGCAATCCTAGGGAGGTCTACTCGGAAGTCAGTCCTGTTCTATTCAGTGGCGTTTACTTTCAGGAACATGTACTTAGGATTTTAACCTTCATGTGAAATTGGTGAACTTGCCTCTATCACTAGGGGGCTTGTTGGACTGAACTGGGTAATTGGACCAGCTTCCTATTGGAGAAAACTCGTAACTCTGGACTGTTAAGTATCATGGAGAGAGATGGAATTGCATTACATTTGAAGTTTAGTCTCAGAGCTGATATAAAGTAGGACATTATAGCAAATTAGCTTTCTGGGTTAGAAACACACTGGGTTAGTAGGCCGATGGTCTGACTCAGTAAAAGGCAGCTTCACTTATTGATCTGTTGCAAACTGAACTGTGTTGTGACTCAAAAGACTAATGTAATATTACTTTATGGAACAAGCGTACACCCGTAAACAATTTTCCTGACTTGAGCTGCCGGCAAAAATTGGAGGCACATCCGAATGCATATCAGAATGCGGTTATTTTGTCTCCGCGCTCCATTGCATTCAGTAGAACACATACATAAATATGTATTCCAGTGCTGCTTTTCATTAGGGGCATTCCAATGTGCATTTGGATGCAGATCTAATTTACCCAGAATTCCTTCTATGAATGGATTTTTTTCCCCTTTCAGATTTTCAAGGTTTCTATGGAGAGGGGGAAGTTGGCCTGGCCCGAGGGCACATGATCATTCCGGAACACAACTTTTACCCTCTTCCACAACAAGCAACTTCCCTTAGCTTAACTCCACCCTCCGATGGACTTAGGTCTTTGTGCTTCTTTCTGCTCCTGTCTCTGTTGGCAACATAAGGGCAGTCAGAATGTGCCTACCTCAGTTCCTGCAGGTGGGGAGTCCATCTTTTTTTAAAGCAGAATTTTCCTGCAATTTCTAGGGCCCGTCTTGTGGGTAGGCACCCAATCCACCCTTGTTCTTTCTCCCAGTACAATGCAATTGGCCACACACGGGACACTCCATTAGAAAAAGCAGGGTGTATCTACAATATGCCCCAAACTTCAATTTGGTAATTTGTTTCCCAGCAAATTAATTTATCCCATCGTTTAAAATACTTTGCATTTTTATATGCTCCTTTGTTAATACATTGCTTGTTTGTTCTAGGTTGCTCCTTGGGCAGATCAAAATTTAACGGGTGTTTCTATTTTGTTTGGTTCCAAGCCAGCTCTTTGTCCTGAAATGGGTTGTTACTCATTCAGTTGCCTCTATCGTAGGAAGGTGTCTGGATAGCAAATTGCAACCTCCCAACATTTTTAAATTGGCCTCCAGGCCCTGTGGCAACTATTCGATGACTGCTCGTTGCAGCAACCCTTGCATCTCCTCAGAATTCTGCAAATGGCTCAACAAGATGGGGGACCCCCTGCCCTAGTAGCCGTTAGCCAGTTTAGAAAAGTACACACAAATGTGTGTGCAATAAAAAAGCAGTAAACATAAAACCATGATCCACGTAACCACAGCAGCTGTCCATTGTTAGCCGAATTGCTTTATCTACAGCAATTGGCAAATTTTAAACTGGGCGCTTGCCAACTATACCAAGGTCCTGTTCCCACCCGAGGGTTACCAGAGAAGGAGTCGAGGCGGGTGTTGTTAAAATAACTGTCTTTTACTTAAGAAAATATAAATCACATACAAACAATACTGATGCTCTCACACATTCAATCAAGTTCCTTAGAAATACAGTATTAAACTGAGCACGTTTGCATTAGCAGGTAGGGTGATGGTGGGTGATAACTTATCTGTCCTGAAGCTTGTTCGTTCCAATGAAGAATGGATGGGAAGAAATAGAACTCTAGGGAAGTTAACACACGACCAGAACCAGCCAGTACGTGTGGGTCTCTTGACTGCAGATCAAGAGATTAAAGTAGAGGCAAGGGTTTGGGTAGAGCAAGCTGGACAAAAGGGGAGTAAAAAGCAGATAGTGGTCATTGCGGGGGTTGCTAGCTAGGAAGGGCCAGGCGAATGGTCCTTACCTTTTATAGGTGGTCCTATTAGGTGAGAGGTAACGGTTCCAACCTGTGGACCCACCTACCTGTTAGTCCGTCCCAAAACTAATCCTATTGGTTGCGTGTAGTGAGGGGTGGCTACCTAGAGGGTTGGAGAATATTGTAACCTAAGACCTAACTCAAAGGATGGCATCTGGGCAAGGGTCAGTGTGCTCCCTTGAAGTGCAGATGAAGCTTGGCCATTCCTTTGGTCATAAAAGGTCCATCTGGCAGGAAATGCCAATGCAGAAATAAAGCAGAGATGTGGCGTGCCTGAGTGCTAACAATTCAACAATGGGGGCTGCTTCTTCTCAAGTTGTTGTTTTGCTGTCAATAATGGAGATGTGTGCTTCCTCAACAGGCTGGTAGCTGAAACCTCATTAACGTGTAAGGCTTATGCATGCACCTTCTATGTGTAGTATCACAACAGGTGACTTGTACAGCTTTCTGAGCCTGTGTGTGTGTGTGCACAGTCCATTGTGTGTGTAGCAGCAAATATAAGTCCATAAAGCAAAATATCAATCTCATTCCTTAACACCATACTCATATTTAGTATCAAATAACAGCAAAAGACTGTCTGTCGTACTTATAGATCCATGTTTTCTCCATTAGCAATTTATCCAAGATCTAGCACTAGACTAGAACATCACCATAGGGTGAAAGCTACAGGTTTTACTATTGTAAATTTTTCCAATTTCTGCTTACAGCCCAATGCCTCATTTAGTTTTCTTATTTCTAATCTTTTATATCAGTATTACCTGTTTTCATTGTTGGGGAAAAAAATCTGTTAGAGAGGCATTCGAAAGTTAAAGAGGTTAGGGCTTTTTAGCTTGCAGAAATGACAACCGAGGGGTGACATGACAGAGGACGGCAACATTATGCATGGGACAGAGAAGGTAGAGAAAGAAGTACTTTTCTCCCTTTCTCACAATACAAGAACTCATGGGCACTCAATGAAATTAACGGGTAGTTGGCTTAGACTACAAAAAGGAAGTACTCCTTCACCCAAAGAGTAATTAACACATGGAATTCATTGCTGCAGGAAGTAGTGGCAGCTATAAGCATAGACAGCTTCAGGAGGGGATTGGATAAACATGGAGCAGAAGTCCATCAGTGGCTATTAGTCACAAGGTATAGATGGAACACTTGTGTCTGGGGCAGTGATGCTCTGTATTCTTGATGTCGGGGGGGCATAGTTCTGGCCCCAGTGGTGGACCTCCTGATGGCACCTGGGTTTTGGCCACTTTGTGACACAAGGTGTTGGACTGGATGTGCCATGGGCCTGATCCAACATGGCTTTTCTTATGTTCTTAACCAGTATTGGATATGGCATGCTGTTGGGTACAAGTTGTATTTGCATATGTAACGTTGGGGTAATTATAAGAGAGATGTCCACATAAAAAAACCCATGTATTACAAGATAAGGAAATAACTGCAAATCATACTTATGATTAATCTTTGTTCCTATCAGAGGTCATTTCGGGGGGGATCGCAGTTCCCCCGGGTGAGGTGCAGGGGGCGGGGCACACGACGAAGCCCCGCCCCTTCTTCCGGCTGCCCCCTTCTTCCAGCCTCATTCTGTTGCAGAAGGAGGAAGAAGCAGGAGGGTAAGTTGGCGTCCTCCCCCTCTGCCTGGCCGAGGCCACTCCACGTGGCCTCCGCAAGGACTCCCAGCCCCATTCAGGAGCTTCCCCGAGGTAACTGTGTTAGTCTGTTCCTGCAAAATAGTCCAAGAGTTCAAATAGCACATTTAAGACTAACAAATAGCACCTTTAAGACTAAGACTAACTGAGTGGTGGGTGTGGCCTTATGACACACTTCCGGTGATGGCAGGGGGTGTGGCCTCATGACACACGTCCGGTGAGGTCAGGGGGTGTGGCATATGCTAATGAGTTCCCCTCACTCTTTTTCTACGAAACGACCCCTGGTTCCTATATTGCACCATATTTCATGTGCTTTTGCCCCCCCCCCCTTCCTTGGGGTACTGTGAAAAGTTCGCTATTAAAATGGGGGCATGATGTATTGTAAATAAAAGCACGCGCCTTTCTCTTAGCTCCCATTCCTAGCCCTGTAGTGAAGGATAGCAATTTGTCTCGCACTTTTTCTACCTCTCTAATTTTGGCAGCAGACCTCTTGCAGCGCCAATCCCTTCCATTTTAATTACTCATGCTGTGCCTATGCGGAGCTAAAATTGTTTGAATGGTTAGCAATTTATGAAAAGATGAGAAGCCTACACTTTAATCAGAACTAGTGTTGAAACCTCGAACTTTCAAGGAGTCACCCGTTGCAGAGTTTTAATTTTGCTGCTTTCTCATTTTGAAACTAAAGCAAAACAATATGAACAGCAAAACTGTTTGCCTTAAACCCTCCCACCCTATAATACACAGAAATGTTTGCTTTTGAACTTATCTTGAAGCTCAGCTTGAGTTGAAGAACGGGATCTTTTCAGTGCTGCAGCCCAGCCCTAGCCTGTACAGAAAATAAGCAAAATGCGGAAAAGCAGAATGTATTGGATTTTATGTCTACATACGTGTCAGTAACTACCTTACAGTAGTATCAGTGAACATGGATGAGCGTAATAGCTGTGTTGATGTACATATCCAGCGATGCCTCAAGTAGAACGTGTGTAAACTTCCCCTTTTTATGTGTTATCCATGCACAACCCTTCAATGTGGCTACGGTCACACATTGGAAAGTGCACTGAAAGTGGATTATTTAGTTTATGTGACTGCAGTCTGTATGTAGGTTTACCCCCTTGCTCAGTGGTAGAGCATTTGTTTTGCATACAGAAGCTCCCAGGTTCAATCCCC